TGAAATAAGGCACTCTTGCCGTCAGCTTTTTGTAAATATCAAAATAATAACACAAAGCTGTATTTGCATTTATAGAATTGTCATTTTTATTATAAAAAAAACTCAAATTTTTTCGCTATTAATTTGACAATTCATTCTTATAATACCCACTTCCAAGAATGGATTTACACCAGGTCATAATAATGGAACTTACATTTTTAATGTTTTGCCTGCTTGTATCAAAACGATTAATAATTTACCCCGTTTTAAAAGTTTTGAAAATACATTTACAGGGAAAATCAAGTTCTTAGTTCTTCAAACCTGTGGATACTTTATTGTGATAATTTTATAATTATTTTTAAGTCTAAGTTTGTTAAATTAACTTCCAGTTGTATAAGCGCTTGAAAGATACATTTTCAACAAAAATCGTATGATGATCTAAATGAAGTTTTTAGTTCTTCAAGTCCATGATAACTTATTATGGTAATTTTATAATTATTTTTAAGTCTACGTTTGTTAAATTAATTTCCAGTTTTAAAAGGGCCTGGAAGATACATTTACAGAGAAAAACGTATGATGATCTAAATGAAGTTCTTAGATCTTCAAGGCCATGAATTGTGATAAATTTTAAGTCTTCATGCAACGAATAATAGAACAATAAATAATTCTATTCTATTAAGATGATTGTATATCTGGGATTTTGATAATTTTATAATTATTTTTAAGTCTAAGTTTATTAAATTAATTTCCAGTTTTAAAAGGGCGTGGAAGGTACATTTACAGGGAAAATCGTATTATGATCTAAATGAAGTTCTTTGTTCTTCAAAACTGTGGATACTTTATTGTGATAATTTTATAATTATTTTTAAGTCTAAGTTTGTTAAATTCATTTCCAGTTTTAAAAGGGCTTTGAAGATTCGTTTATAGGGAAAATCGTATATGATCAAAATCAAGTTCTTAGTTCTTCAAGTCCATGATATCTTGTCACAATTTTGTTTTTATTTTTAATTGTATTAATTTAATTTCCAGTTTTAAAAGGGCTTCATTTACAGAGAAAATCGTTTTATTATCTAAATGAAATTTTTAGCTCTTGAAGGCCATGATACCTTATTGTGATAATTTTGTAATTATTTTTAAGTCTAAGTTTGTTCAATTAATTTCCAGTTTTAAAATGGCTTTGAAGATAAATTTACAGAGAATATAGTATTATGTCTAAATGCAGTTTTTAGTTTTTCAAGGCAGTGATCCCTTATTGTGATAATTTTGTAATTATTTTCAAGTCTAATCGTATTAATTTAATTCCCAGTTTTAAAAGTGCTTTGAAGTTGCAGTTACAGGGAAAATCGTATTACGATCTACAAGAAGTTCTTATTCTTGAAGGCCATGATACTTTGTTGCGATAATTTTATAATTATTTTTAAGTCTTTGTTAAATTATCTTTCAGTTTTATAAGGGCTTGGAAGATACATTTTCAGGAAAAATCCTAGGATGATCTAAATGAAGTTCTTAGTTCTTCAAGGCCATGAATTGTGATAATTTTGTAATAATTTTTAAAGTCTACATACAATGTATAATAGGACAATAAATGATTCTATTCTATTAAGATGAATGCATATCTGGGATTATGCTTAATATGTATAGTTTTGAGTAAAAAACGAATATCAAGTAAAGAATTAACTTTTGTGTAGGGATGTTCCATGAGATTTAACGGCACCACGTATAAAAGGAGCTTTCCGATTCGATTTCAACGGTCGAAAAAGGCAGAACGCCATTTCACAGCATCCATCTTGTCGTCAATCCTCCCACCTGGGTCCTAGGAACGGCGGCTCACCTGGCGCCATGGCGTCCGGAGCGAAAAACACCCCTGCGGGCGCATCCTGGTGGGGCGGAAAAGGGCGTTTCCACCCCGTCCAATAGAGGGGCGAACGGGCAGGGGCTGTTTTTAAACCTTTCTCACTCTTCAGTTTGCAAACAGTCTCTCTCGGATGTGTGAACAGTTAGTTGTGTGGATTTCTTTACTTCTGTGACCGCTTAGACCGAAACCGAAAACTAAAATGTAAGTACAGTCTGTTTATATTTATCAACGTGACTTGTTACTTTTTATAACTTATATTTATACTAGCTTTTCTTTACTTGACTTATTTCAAAAAATTTCATAAAAAATAACATTCTAGACAAATTTTACAATTTCTTTAAGATTTTTCACCGTTTCTTCTTGTATAACTGTTCATTTCTTGTTAATGTAGTTTAAAAAATAAAATTTAGCACTTAATTTTTGATTTTTGTATAGCAAGACAAAATATTTGCTGGTTTTTTTACTATCTCTTATTCCTTTTTCATCTTACTATTTCGTAGCAAATTTAGTTTAATTATTAATTCACTTTTTCGATTAGTATTTTTTTCATCTGATAAAACTTAAACAAGTAAAAACACAATTTCAGACCTTAATTTTATAAAATGCAATATTGCAAAAAAAATATCGAAAATCGATAAAGAATCGAAAATTTGTCTAAAATCTTTCCAAATCAAAATGCCTGCATGCATAATTTTAAGTAAATGTAAACTAGTTTTTAGTTTGTCCCACTTTGGCAAAATATACAATTTTTTTTAAGTTTTATTTTTAAATAGGAAAATTTGATTTATTTGAGTAGGAAAGAGAAAGAGAAAAAAAGACTTTTATTTACAGCAATTATATTGACAACAATATAAAAAAGTATATACCCATGGACAAAGTCCATGTCGGAGGTCGTTGCAGAAAGAAACAAGAATACATGTACAATGGCGACTTAATAGTGCTAACAAAAATTATAACTGTAAAAAAATGAATATACAAATTAACTTACACTAAAGGATAAAATTAAAGTTAATACGAATAAAAAATGAACAAAAATGTAAAGAAAAAATAGAAAAAACAAGATTGGTTATGAACTGAACATTGGTTATGAATAACACCGGCAACGATACAATTGAGCAAAATATGGAAAACGAATGACATTAGATTAAGTGAAATTAACCGAAACAATTTAGCAAAATATAAGAAATATCCCACCGATCCTTACTTAAAAATAAACAATTAAATCTATGCAGAAAACAAAAACCATTAAGTTACAAATTCCTGTACTAATTCATATCTGTAAATCCAGACGTGCCGGGAAAAATAGAACAGTTCTTGAGGGGTATTTTGTATCAAGGTATATCTAGGCAAATAGAAACTGCCCAAATAGAGTCGACGGATTTCATCCAGGATTGAACACTCAGCTAGAAAATGAGTAATATTTTCGATCGCACCTGAGTTGCAGAGAATGCAAAATACCAAAACCTCCCCTAAACCACCGAGCCGAATTCAGACGTTGTAGCTCGTACCGCATTTTAAACAACCAAATCAAATCATTTATAACAGTTTAAATTATCTTTGTAAAAATCTAATAAGGCAACAGAATGATTAAGTCCTTTACATAACGATAAAAGTGGAGATGAATGAATTTTCAAATAGCAACTCTCACTCTGAATTTTGTAAATTTTATTTGTAAGAAGTGATTCACACTAAAATATTTTGTAAAGAAGGAGAAAACATTATTTCATATTTTTAGAACAGCGCATGCCAGTGAGCTAAACCGAAACAATTTATTTTCAATAAAAACGAATGAAAACTGTAACTTCACAGTGTAAATAAAATGGAGTTAACATGAGGTTTCTAAGTAAATTAAATAATTTGGCGTGGATGCTGGTGGGCGAAAGACAACAAAAAAAAATTTCCAGGAAAATTACAAATTTCTGAAGATTGAGTTAAATCGTTCTATAAATTTTCCTTAGTCTCAACTTTTGTATAAACTTGGTTTGAACCGTATCAAATATGAAAAAAACGCATAACAACTTTGGAAAAACTCTATAATTGAAAGGTGAATAAATAAGCAAACAATACTGTAAGATCCAAAATACTGCGAAATTTTTGGATGTGTTGACTAATAAATAATTTTCATTGGTACCTGAGGCTGATTTTCTAAGTTTTACATGTATGCACATTATCCATGACCACATGGTCATTGTTAACTCCAGCAGTCCAAAATCTTATCAATTTTATGCAATTGGTAAATAAATTTTATATATAAGAGGGGCACAAAAACTTTTAGTCAAGTCTTAACAGCTGGGTCAATTTAGCACCCAACGCATACAGTTCCAAATCATTCGAGCTCACGTTCATTCTTAAATACTTCATACTTCATCCGTAAGTATACCGTTCATTCAATTAGAGTGGTGGAGTAGTTGATGTCTCTCCATCACCCTTTACACATATTACACAACCGACGTGGTAGTCGATATTGCACCATCGATAACCATCACACTTTCACGCTAATAAATACATTCATTGTCTAAACAAGCTAGGTATACACAACTATTATTACTATATACAATAGAAAAGCCCCGTTTCCTCAAAGAATCTCAATTCTCATATCGGATGGTATTCCTACACGCTCTCTATATAGAGCCAAGGAATTGCACCCTTCAATTAGGCGAGAGCAATGCCTGGGACACTCGGGCTTTGGACCCCAAATAAGTGTCCGGGTGTCAACCTCGCATGGCCTATTCTTAATCGGATGAGGATGACCCTTCTTTTACGTGTCAGATCCTCCGAGTGCCCCTATCTTAGTGGTGTTTTTTTATATAAAAAATGTGTGAATATCCAAATCATCCAACAATGGCTGAAAATCTTGGCCTTATTGTTTTTATATTTGCCTCAGGTAAATAAAAGATAAACATGTATATTAAATTTTTCGGTATACGAAAATAGAATACAAAAAGAGAGGCCAGCATTCATCTTTCTCGGTCATCGCGGTCCGCCCATTCTCGCTTTGACTTTTGGCCGAGTTTCTCCATTTTACGCCTTCAATAATGACATTTCTTAATCGGGCCTATATCAAGCTGATTTTATTTATACACACTGTTAAATAATCCTCGGGAATGTTTGGACATTTAAATAGGATTACGTTTATCTTTGAGAATCTCGTTGTTTTCGTCAAACATCCTCGGCGATTAGTGACACCGATTTGCTTGTCTTTCGAAATCAGTTCGGCTCTGGACTTTGTCGATACATTACGACATGCAATGAACCAGGAAAGGTTCTCACAGCTAGGTAAATATTTATTGAACAGTATAAAAATAATACGTGATAAATTTTACTCCGAAATTTTACATCACTTTCTTTGCTTATCGAACGAAGATGGCGAATTTTAAAAGTTTATTAGGATAGGGTATTGTTTTGCGGTGTAATAACATTTATTTTAACTATTTCAGGAACAACGCGCATTCGGATGTGAAAATGGAACGGGAGGTGTTCCATCCCGAGATGAACAACGTCCAGGTGGAGTTGAAGAACGTCGACCTATGGAAACAATTTCACAAAGAGGGGACGGAGATGATAATCACCAAATCTGGCAGGTGAGCGAAAAAACATTTGCACAATTATGGTTTAGTTCTAAATAGGGAAGCTTCAAAATAGAAAATATTCTAAAGGAAATCACATAAACTACACAAAAATCATACAACCCCTATATTTTTTATTTATATGGCATTTCACATATTTACTTTTGAAACAATTTTATTCAATCCGAATGAATTGAAGAATCAATAATAGCTAAAATCACTTTATTATATATATATAAAAAAACATTTACAGCGAATTTTACAAATTTGTACATTATACATCACTACATGGTCAATGGTAAACTCAAAAACTTAGAAATTTTAAGCAATATCTTCTTGATACAAAAAAATGCGCGCAAGTAGTACAAGGTTTTCCTTCTTTTTGCACCTTGATAATTTATTCGTAGCTATTTAAATTGCAAATAGTACTGAATATGGCAATTATCTTTTCGGGTGTTTGAGAACTTGCTAATTAATTCCGAATTTATTTTAATTATAAGAATGAAAGGGTTTTGTTTCCCACTGTAAAACACGCATTGTTTTCTCGTTTCGACACCGGATAGTAATTTAATAGTTAAAATCCAATTGAAATTGTTATCGATCTTTTCTTTTTATTTGTTTCACTCATTCATTCTTATTCTCGTTTCTTCTCTTTAATTAAGATTTCACAACTTGTCATTGAGGGTTTTTCAAATATTTTTGTCCTCATTGATTTACATTCGCACCCTAACAATGCCAACAAGTTTTTCTTAGTCATTCATTTAACTTTTAAATTGTTATTTCTTACGGTGTAATTTTTTTCAAACTTGTACTAACAATTAGCGAAAATTCGTTATTTTTTAACATGGTGCTGACTTTTACTTTTAAACTTTGCAATTGCAAGATTGTTGTCGATGAAACGTCTGCATAACTAACCTTCTTTTGCTCTCTTTCTTACCTATTCTTTCTGTCACACTTTTTCTTTATTACTTTGTGTTTATTTATTTCTTACTCTTTTTCGCTGGCTCCCTTCTCTCTCTATCTATGTCTCTACTTCTTTATTAATGTCCCACTATCTTTCTGTGTTTCTCACACACTCTCGTATTTTCTATCTATCTGTACATCTACCCTTCTATATATCAATATATCTCTACTTCTTTATTTATGTCCTACTATCTATTTTTCTCTCTCGCTGTTTCCTTATATATTCCCCCTTCTCTTTTGCTCTAATTATCTATCATTCTTTATCTCTACTTCTTTATTTATGTACCTCTACCTCTCTCTCTCTCCCTCTCTCTCTCTCTCTCTCTCTCTCTCTCCTCTCTGTTTCTTTATATATTCCCCTTTTTCTCTTTCTCTGACTCTCTCTATCTATTAATCTATATCTCTACTTCTTCATTTATGACCCACTATCTCTCTCCCTCTCTCTCTCTCTCTCTCCCTCTCTCTCTCTCTCTCTCTCTCTCTCTCTCGCTCTCTCTCTCCCTCTCCCTCTCTCTTCTCCTCCTCCTCTTCCTACTCCTCCAACCACCTTTTTCTTACTTTGTACGTGTCTAAAAAAGAATGTATATACGTATCATCTTATTTATATACTACTTTATCAACGTATTATTTATTAATTAAATATCTATATTCAAATATTTTCCCTCTCTCTCTCTCTCTCTCTCTCTCTCTCTCTCTCTCTTTCGTCCATTTCCTCTGTTTATTTTATTACTTATTCATTTTTTAGTAATTCTTTCTCACACTCCTATTCTTATTAGTACTCTTTCGGTTTATATTCTTCAGTCTGTTTGCTCTTTGTTTTATTCCCTGTCGCTCTTTGCCTATTTAGTTTCAAATCATCCCTCACTGTTTCCATCACTCATCCTCTTTCTACCTCGGTTTTTAGCTTTGTTTCTCTTTGTCGATATTTCTTCTACTATTATTTCAGAATCGACTGTGTCTTGTGGGTTATGGTTTTCTACCCTAAGCATTGAAACACATCGACCGTTGATTTCTCTTTTGGAAACGTGAATATATTACAATTTTGGTATAAAATTGCATTCTTTTAAAGTCCGAGAATTAAATCTTGTTGATTAAATCTTTATCTTATTTTGTGTTTTTGAAATTTTAATTTAATAAATATGTCGCTTGTTGTTTTCTCTCGTTATCAAAAGACGTATTTAAGTATACCAAAGTATTTATTAAAACAATGTCGCCAAATTTCCGTCAGACCCCGACGTCGGTCGTTTCCGACTCCCCCCCGCAGGTCATAAGGCGTTTGAGACAGGCGTTGTTTCAAACGGCTCCGACGGAAGGATGGGCTCCTTACAAGAAGCAGGAGACTGTTTATAGATGCCGACAAGAGATTAGCCCTGGCAACACGACGGTCATGTGGGATAGTCTAGCCGGCGGCAGTTTTATCGCGCACAACTTAACACTGGCGCAGACACACGCGCGCATACACACACCCCTTCTTTAAGAGGTTTTTTACGACATGATTTTTATTTATTTACACGTATAGGGGCCAGGCCGCTTCGCAACAGAGCCAGACGTCCAAAAATTACGCCAGCCTCCCATTAAAATTTAAGTAGTTGATGATAAAACACTATATACAAAAACGCTTGTAAACTTAACCTAGAAATATTAAAAAAACTGACCTTTAACGTAGCTTCAATTTTCTAATTTGTATTATTTTAATCTGATATAATATAAATTTATCGTGCCGATAATAATTATCAACCTCTAGAAACAGAAACTTATGACTCCCCAATTTTTATGTTCATTTATGTATAAAAATACTCTAACTAGAAAAAGAGGAAAAGCACAACCATTTTTCCTGAAAATTAAAGTGGAAGCTTTGATTTTTTTTTTCAATTTCACTAAGGTGTAATATTCTACACAGATGGTTCTTGCTGTGGTACATTTCTGGTCCGCATAATCTCGCTGTTTGCTTTAATTAAAAGAAAGTTTTATACAAAATGTAAACCTAGACGAATTCCTTCAGGAATTGCCAAAAATCCTTCGGTTTTTCTTTTCTCTGAGTGATATTCTTGAGAAAAAAGAAGATATGGTTCTCACTTAACTGAATGTTTTTCAGTGCGCTTTGGAATAAAATATGTAACAATTTTGTGGCCTGAGAAACAAAATTTACTTATTTTCGAACGCACATTCTTTTTGGCTCACGATGGTTAACGATCAACCATGAACACCTTAGCCTGGTCTGCATATCCTGAATTGCAAAAAATATCTGGGATTTGGTAACCTCTGATTTCTTGAGAAGAAAAGGATCTACGTCCAACATTACTAATATTTAGATGAAACGTAACATTTCTGTGACGGTGAGATACAAAATTTACCTCTAATCAAACGTTGATCCAAGGCTGGTTCACCTTGGTCCGCATATTCTCGCTGTTTACGTTACTTAAATAATAAATTACATGACTTTGCCGTCTTCATTAATCAAGTTTTTTTAAAATATAATAAAAAGGTAGACTACTTCCTTCCTGAATTGCAAAAAATTTCTGGGATTTTGTAACTTCTGATTTTTTGAGAAGAATAAGATCTACGTCCAAGATTATTAACATTTAGATGAAACGTAACATTTCTGTTGAGATACAAAATTTACCTTTAATCAACCTTGATCCAAGTTTAGCTTGGTCCGCATATTCTCGCGGTTTACATTACTTAAATAATAAAATACTTGACTTTGATGTTTTCAATAGTCAGGTTTCACTAAGTAAAAGCGTATACGAATTCCTTCAGGGATTGCTAAAAATCTTTGGGATTTTTTATCGTCTGATTCCCTGAGGGATGCGTCAGAGTTTATTTGCCTCTGGAAGAAAATATCAAATTTTTGAGGCAGTGAGAAACAAAATTTACGTCTAATCGCTGATCATATCTGGCTTAGGATGGTCGATGATCCACCCTGATCTTCTTTCGTTGTTTAAGCTCTAATTCTAGTTTGCAGCATCTATTAGCCTTGGTTGTAGTTCTTAATATTAACCTAAAAATTTCAAAATATTTTACAAATAATAAACCAATTGTCTCAATTTTTTTAAATACTTTTGTTCCTCATATAGTAGAAAAATTTAAAAATTTTGCTTACGTTTGCTTTTTCTTATTCTCTCTGTTTGTTTTATTATCTAGATTCAAATCCTTAAGTTTCTTGTCTAGGTTATTCAAGTTCACATCAAAAAGCTTCAAAATTTTCAAGCAAATTTCAACTAAGATCCTTTGATAATATTTAAAAACCATTAGGTTTTTATCCTTAGTCCTACTGATTCCTCATATGAAAAACAAAAATATTTTGATATTTTTATAATTAGAAGGTTGTAAATCCAATTTAAAAATTTCACGACGTTATATTTTAATGAGCTTATTCTCGCTGTTATTTATTTTTATTTTATTTTTTTTTTTTTACTATAAAGTGGCAAATCTTGACGTTTGTTGTCTCTGTAATTTAAGTTTCATATCCAAAGGATCAAATCCTTCAAGTGACTCTAAACTAAGACAAGTTTCTTTAGAAATTCTTAAAAATCCTTGGGATTTTGCTTCATCGTACTCGTGCAAAGTTCGCTGAGAAATTTACGTATCACATCTGGTATTCTAACTGTTTGTTTTAGTTACAAAGACAAAGTTTGATATTTTTAATCTTTTTAAGTTCCATTTTTTTATAACAAATTGCTCAAAACTTTTAGTTTAATTTTGTTCAGAAATTTCTATAAGTCCTTGGATTTGTGCTTACCCCACTGATTTCTCATATAAAGATTACACAAAATCCTGATCATTGAAATTGATATCTATTAGGAATATAGAATTTGACTGTTGACCTATGTACTTTTGAACCAACCTTTGTCAAAGAGCAACAGTCATATTTAGACAATGTGTTGACTGTCGTACCGGTGCCGGCCACGCCAGGTAGCCCCCCCCCCCCCGTCATGGTTGACACCGTCCGCAAGATGTGCTATATTTTATAGGTAGAATGGAAAAATTTTACACCAAGTGTAAAGTTAGAGGCAGGTAATTAGTGGACCTAGCTGTCGACAGGGCACCAC